GCTAATAGGATATGGGTTACTATTTTATGTTGGTGACGAGGAAGAGATTCAATATTTAAGTTTAATAGTGCATTTTATTTTATTTTATTTTTTTACACACATTTCTTTGTTTACATTTTTCTCCACACATTTCTTTGTTTACATTTTTCTCCACTCCTTAATTTTAATGTGAAACCTACGTAATCGTGTGTATAAAAAACTTCAAACGCGCCAAAAAAACAGAACAGTGATTTGGAAAGATGCTGAGTGTATCTTTTTGTGTCTGTTCCCTACTGCAGTAGGTATTATTAATTTGGAACCAATAATCAGTATGAGGATAGGAGTTGCCTAGCTATAAACTTTTCAGTATTAATGTCCAGAACAGCAGTCAAATTGAGATAACATCTTCTTTATATTTGTAATACATCCCCATTCACACAGCATAACTTAAACAAATATTTAAAAACTGCAGTTTACATTTTTAGATTATCTATTCTGAAGCATTCAGCAAATGAAAATCTCTGTTTTTTGAGGGGGCTGTGTTTGCCATAATAAACCTGTCTGTATTATATAGGTATATCTTCATTATTTAAAAAAAAACACACAAGAGGGCACACACTGTTCATGCATTACTGTGATAGATGAGTTTTATTATATAAAAAAGAAAAATGGTACTCACAAACCAACTGTGCAATCAGGCATGAAACAGTTTCAGATCATGGGGTCTCATCTTGGAACCTGCTAATGTAGACGTTGAAGCGTTTTGGGAGCCGTGCTTTCTCAGAGCTGAATTAGTCAAACAGTTCCAATACACAATTTATAGTTCTGAAACAAGCATTATGTATTTGAACTGTGTGACTCTTTTGTGCACCCTCTTGTGTGTTTTTCTTAATGCTTTGAGGATTTCCCAATCCGAGGAGGGCTGCACCGACTATAGAGACTTTAGCCATGAACTTGTATTCAGCATACTGATTTGAGCACTGATGTGATTTGCATGGTTTGAGATCTTCATTATTAATTGTAACTAGATTGAACACTGTCCTAACAAAGGGTTAAAGGTGTAGAGTCTGGGCTTCTTGTATTGTATGTTAAAAACTGTAGTAAACACCCCTTGGGCACTTTTACCTACAGGTAAGCTTATAATAAAGGTACAAGGAATATCTCTTAACCAATTCAATACCGTGCAATTTTACACCTTCCTGCCCAGGCCAGTTTTCAGGTTTCAGCGCTCACACTTTGAATGACAATTGCGCGGTCATACAACATTGTACCCAAACTAAAATTTTATCATTTTCTTCACACAACTAGAGCTTTCTTTTGGTGGTATTTAATCATCGCTGGGGTTTTTATTTTTTGCTAAATTAATAAAAATAGACCAAAAACTATGAAAAAAATAACGTGTTTTTCTTTGTTTCTGTTATAAAAGTTTGCAAATAAATAATTGTTCTTCATAAATTTGGGCCAAGATGTATTCTGCTACATGTCTTTGGTGAACATAACCCAAATTAGGATGTATTTTTTAGTTTGTAGGAAAGTTATAGAGTTCACAAACTATGGTATAGATCTGAATATTGATCAATCCTGAAGTACTGACAGCCAATCTAATTTCTTGAGGTCCAAGAATGTCAGAATAGTACAGATATCCTACAAATGACCCCTTTTTGCAAAGTAGACAGTCTGTCGTACTTCATAAGAGGCATGGCCAGTTTTTTTGAAGTTGTATTTTTTTTGTCATAATTTTTCGGAAAATGAAAAAATTTTAAAAATTAGTTTCACTATTTTTTTTTTTTACATATTGTCACCAGTGCAGTACAGCATCATCATATAACTGGCATGGTGGTGATCAGGGACACTGACTTGTGACAGTATGAAAAAAAAAAATATATATATATTTATTTTTTATTTTTTTTATTTTTTATTAAATTTTGTTTTCTTTTTTTTAAGATTTTTTTTCATATTTCACTATGACCAAAGTAGTACAGTGTTACCATAGTAACATTGTACTACTTTGGGGAAGTGATCAGTATTTTTCTTTTTTTTTACACAATTTGCTTATAGCAAAGAATTACTTTGCTATAAGCAAGCATTTACCTGAATGACATCGATTCATTCAGGATTTTTTTTTTTTTTTTTTTGTGCTTAGCTGTGATTTGCCCACAGCTAATCATTCACAGCTAGACACTAGTATACAATGGATGGCATGAATGAAGCCATCCATTGTATACAACTGTCATGTGACCTGCTGTGATTGGTCACAGCAGGTCACATGGTACCTGCAACGGGGGCTGATGCGCTGATGCGCGGCTCTGCAGGAGTGCAATCTGCGCATGTGCGGGAGGACGCCATATGGAACGCTGATGACATTTGACGGCCGCCATTCGGCCATAGGGCGGGCGGCAAATGGTTAAACATGCACTGTTTAGGAGAAAACCAATGTTTCTGAAGCCGGTGACTTCACCAGTGCGTGAGCTCTGAAGGGACGGCATACTCATGCAGTCCCTTCAGAGTTCTGTGCTGCACCCAAGACTCCTGGGAGCATGCACTGGAATGACATAATTTGAACCTGGCCATTCAAACAACTGGAGTCTTCAAACCTGGAGGGAAGAATGGGTGAAGATGGAAGCCCTGTCAGCAGTGACTGCACCCTGCTGGAAAGCTTCAATTTAAAGTAAGTCTTTCATAATGTGCTAGTATGTGATGCACCTTGACAAAGGAACCTTTTTTTTTTTTTAAAGTTTACTACCACTTAAATGAGGACAGGTTTGGGACAGACTCACTCTGACATTGTAATCAGCCATGACATCTTTTCCTGAGAAACATATAAAAGGTAAGAAATATATATATATTTTTAATTTTTACATATGCTGTGTGACTGGGAACATATAACAAGCATACAGGATAGTGAGGTTTTCTTAAATGTGACTGCAAAAGTAGAAATACGCTTTAAGCTTATAATGCATTATATTGAGGTATATACAGTATACACTCACTCAAACACACATCCATACACTGTATATAAACATAACAACACAGAAAATATCTACACATACAGTCTCATATGGTATTAAAGATTTTATCGGAAATTTAACAGTTTGAGAGCTTACAGCAGTGCATCTAAGTATAATAAGCAGCACAGAACAGAAGTGCATTATGTTTTGCTCTCCATGCTATCACTAGATAGTAAATATACATTGAAGCTAAAGTTACATTTTCTCCACACTATCCTTTCATAACAAGTTTTAATACACCAATGCACAGAAGCAAATTAAATAAGATCACTGATAATGGTTGCTGCTGGTCGGGGCTGAATGTATAAAAGGATCATATATTGATGTATCCAGGGGAATCTCCAGGTTAGGAATGAAATAAAATGTAATAGATTTTTCTTATACAGAAAACATTTTATTTCTGCTACTACTAACTGTTTCTATATCTGGAAGCTGACTAATTTTCTGTTACAAATTGCTCATCCCATAGCACAGTGCACTCACTTTCAATGAGCATTTACTTCATTTAACACTGTCATCTTTAATAAATCTTTGCTCACACAGAATAAGAACACATATATAAATAGGTATTTCTAGAAACAAAGTGACTAACATGGTCACAAATATACAGAAATACATCTGTATATAAAATAAGTCACCGCCTCTGAAAATCAACTACAGCTGGTAGCTATGGTTTTAAAAAACTGTGACAGTGAAACATACTATTATGTATTGTCAACACTGAATAGAATGTATAGTGTTTTCCTATATATATATATTAAGTTTAGGACAAATAACATAATCTTTTAGAATTGTTTTTGTCAGATACAAATCAAAAATATTTGAAAATGTTGTATTTACTCCTCCCACCCAGCAGGTGGCAAATGTGAGTTGGACGGTCTAGGTTTACTCATATACAATATAAAATGCAGCGCATTAGGGTACATAAAAGTGCTAGTGACAATAATGAACCATCAATGGTAAGGATTGCAAAGTGAAATACAGTCCTGTATTGGTGATCCCCCAGTGTTCCCAGTGCATATGATAGAAATGCGCACTAACCAGAAGCGTATTATAAATACGCGGTGTATAAATATCCTGAAGATCCCCCCTCTCTTTCTGGTCAGAATGTAGACTGTAGATGCCATGTTGAACGGATCTTGTGGCCTTATTCATGGATGCCAGTGGCTGTTTCTTTATTGATAAACTGATGGTTATCTGTGCTTTCTCTCTGGGCTGCAGCCAGCAAATACACAGGGTGTTACTTATATTTAAAAAAATACAAAAGGAAAGCCAGTGCTTACCAAACTGCCAGAGTACTAACAATTCAAAAAACCTGCTCACAATCCAACCTAGCCTCTGTAGTGTCTTTACTCCTCATAGATAGAATATCTCATGATTGCAGCATTCTCACTCTCTCCACTACAATAACAAATAGAATGCAGATACACTATATTGCCATAAGTATTGGGATGCCTGCCTTTACACACACATGAACTTTGCAGCTATAACAGCTTCAACTATTCTGGGAAAGCTGTCCACAAGGTTTAGGAGTGTGTCTATGGGAATGTTTGACCATTCTTCCAGAAGCGCATTTGTGAGGTCAGGCACTGATGTCGGACGAGAAGGCCTGGTTCACAGTTTCTGCTCTAATTCATAACAAAGGTGTTCTATCGGGTTGAGGTCGGGCCAGCCAAGTTCCTCCACAACAAATTTGCTCATCCATGTCTTTATGGACCTTGCTTTGTGCACTGGTGCGCAGTCATGTTGAAACAGGAAGGGGCCATTCCCAAACTGTTCCCACAAAGTTGGGAGCATGAAATTGCCCAAAATGTCTTGGTATGAATTTCCTTCACTGGAACTAAGAGGCCAAGCCTAACCCCTGAAAAATAACCCCGCAGTATAATCCCCCCTCCACCAAACTTTTCACTTAACACAATGCAGTCAGGCAAGTACCGTTCTCCTGGCAACCACGAAAAGCAGACATGTTCATCGGATTGCCAGACAGAGAAGTGAGATATGTTACTCCAGAAAACGCGTCTCCACTGCTCTAGAGTCCAGTGACAGTGTGCTTTACACCACTGTATCTGACGCTTTGCATTGCACTTGTAAGACTTGGATGCAGCTCTCTACACATTGTTGTTGCGCTACTTTGAAGGTTTTACAAAGTTTGGAGATCTTTAGCAATTGACTCTTTTTCATTTTACGTGACCTACCACTTCGTGGCTGAGTTTCTGTTGTTCCCAGTTGCTTCCATCTTGTTATAATACCACTAACAGTTGACCGTGGAATAATTAGTAGCAATGAAATTTCACAGATGGACTTATTGCACAGGTGACAACCTATCACGGTACAATGCTTGAATACACTGAGCTACTTGAAGTGACCCATTTTAACAAATGTTTGTAGAAGCAGACTGCATGTCTAGGTGCTTGATTTTATACACCTGTGGCCACAGAGGTGATCAAAACACCTGAATCCAATGATTTGGAGGGGTTTCCCAATACTTTTGGCAATATAGAGTATGTTATGACACTGCTTTTACAACTCCACAGCTCCAAGATGTAATCAGAAAACCATCCTCTTAATAGTACAAATGCATACACATCTCCATACATATACTGTATATATACATATAAATCTCTACACATCCACACACATATATATATATATATATATATATATATATATATATATATATATATATAGCCATAAGCAAATATTTGTGAATGCACTAATGCACCAATACTAAGAATTAAGCTGATTGCAGTGCACACTTAAGACAAGCACTTAGCAATGTCTCACATACTGTACACCAGTGCTGTCAATCCTTTGCTAGCAAAATAGTTACAACTTAAAGGATAAGTTCACCTTTGGAACATGTTACATGTTCCACCCATTTTTAGGGTGGAACATGTAACATATTCCCATAGCCGCAGCAGCACCTGCCGCCCCCCCCCTCCCTATGACAGATAGTACGGGGAGAAGTTTCCCTGTACTATCTGTCAGGTTTGAAAACAGCGTGGCCACCCACATGGCCGCGTCATTCGTTCACAGAGTTCTGTGAATAAGTGCCTGCAAGTTCCGGCAGCCTTAGCATCTGTGGGCTTGTAGTTTTCAATGAACTACAATGGTGCTGTGGAGCTCTGTGGTAGTTCATTGAAGCTTCCTGTCAGAATATCTGGTTGACCGTACATCCTGTAAAGCAAGCTGATATTCTGGCATGTCTGCAGGAGAGCTGCATGGCATCAGCGATCTACTGATCACTGGTGCAATGCTTTACAGGATTCTTTGGACAAAAATAATAAATGCACAATTTTTTACTTGCAAACTTGCAAAAAAATGTGCATTTATTATTTTTGTCCAAAAGGTGAACTTATCCTTTAATACCAAAGGCCTGTGCACTGCTACCCCCCAGATTTTAACATAAATGGTTAGACAGGCTGGTAATTTTGCTGTGAAGGCCTTTGATTGTTTGTGATGTGCATTGCCCTTTGATGTGCACCTTGTTGCAAATGCCAGTTATAAGTTGGGGTGGTTGCCACTTTTTGTGCAGTTGAACGGATTGGGTGCAGGGATGCACTCGATGCTTTTGTTATCATTGTGCTCTTGCTAAGTGCCACGTGCGTCCCTGTGCCTTTAACCTCCTTAGCGGTAATCCCGAATGTAACTTGGGGTAAAATTTCTATACCAAAAGCGGTAACCCCGAGCTACACTCGGGCTTACCATGTGGCGTTGCTTTGGGGGTCCCTGCAGCACTTACCTTGTCCTTCGCTCCCGCGATGTGTCTCCTGCAGCGTCCCCGGCCATCTCCTCCGGCCGATGCCGGCATCCGGCTTCTGTGTTCCGGTCCCTGTGACGTCGGGACATACGGTCGCCGGAACCGGCGGGAAATTTGAAATTTTTAAAAAATTTCATTTTTGCTGTCATTGCTGTTTCAATGCATTTCACATATATTTTGTCCCTACTGCTTTGTCCTGTGCCCTGCCTGCATTTTGAATGTTCTTTCTGCCTGGAAACTTAGAAAAGTTCATAGCGTCCAAAAAGCGTCCCTTTACATCAAAAGCGGTTTTAGAGCAGCAATAGTAAATCAGAACCACTTGCAGAATTGAGTGATAATGATTCGTGGGGAAATTCGTCATCAGACACTGAAAATGATTTTGCGACTTTGCTCAGCGATGTGCGAATTTGCCTCTGTATTTCAAATTTCAGTGTTTTTGGTTTGATTATATTATTGAATTAAATGTATTATTATTATATTATATTTTTTTATGATTATTTATTAAATTATAATTTATGATTTTGTGTTTCAAATTTTATCATATCCGGAATGTTTAATAGACTCTTGTTCGTACAGATTTCAGTGAGTTATTCCTAAAAATTACAGCCTACAATAAAAAACTACATATTTCCATGCAAAAAAATGGTACTGCTTTCAGCACAAAAAATCGGAAAGAATCATACCACCAAGGAGGTTAAGGAGAGGTGGGCTCCCTCCAGGCATACCTGCCCTTAATCTATCCATTCTTATACATTCTCCTACTATGGAAGCTCTGAAAATTTAGATTTAGGACCACAGTATATACAGAGATCCTTAGGCGTGTGTGCAAACATAACCCTCTACTTTTAATGTAAATGGTTAGACAGGGCCAATTCAGTTGTTTTGAGGGCTGGCTGGTAAGTGTGCTGGGAAATCCTTTGTTTGTGATGTGCGTTGCTCTTCCATGTGCACCTGGCTGCAAAGGCCAGTTTTAGGTTGGGGTGGTTGCCACTTTTGTGTAATGCTACCCCAGCAGGAGCTGCTAGTAATATTTGGTTTTCTGTTCTTTCTGTTGATGTAGCTAAAGACCCTGACCCCATTTCTAACACCTCAGGTTACACTAATCTTGACACCATGAGTTAGCCATTTCAACACACTTTAGGGTCACCCTAAAATCAAACTCCGTAGTAAATAACAGTGTACATTATCCCTTAAGAAGCTGATAGGACAAAATGTAACAATGCAGAATACAACGGTGCAATATATGACTACAAAACAGTACGCTGATGTTGTGCATAGACCTTTTAACAAAACCAAATTTAGCTTTCCCCACCTTATGTGCTGCAACAGGTCATAAAAGAATGGTAAAAATAAGCTTAGAGACTGGGCTGCCTGTGAGCACTTGGAGTGAAGGAGTTAGGCCTAGGCCTGTAGCAGATTGCAAAATAGTCAGGACTAGAAGAGCTGTACTAAGAGCAATTAAACTATATACCGCCTTTTTTGTAACTTAAATCTTCTGCCGGCTGATGGGGCCCTTCAAGACATTGGTGTGCTTATTAAACAAATACTCCTGCACACAGTGTGATAGTCTAAGTGAGTTCCATATAACACAAGACTGGAAGTGATCTACACAAACAAGTTGTGGATTAGTGATGAAAGGCCTGGCCAGGCAGGACAAATTGCGCTTGCTAGGATTTTAGAACATTGGTGGGTCTGCAACCTGTTCCAGTTCCCCTCATTCTATATAAGCAGACTGTATTAATGAAAAGGCCCCTCTTTGCTGTGATGGCGATGCCCACCAACCTCCTGCAGTAATCTGGTAGATGGAGGACCTGACTAGCACGGTGCCTTCTCCTTGACTCTCTCTCTAGGTACTCCTTTCTGACTGATGGCTACCCCCCAAAAAAGCCCTGCTCTTTCCCAGGCTTTTCATTGTATACCCCCCTTACACTCCTCCTGCCTCTAGGTCCAGTGGAGTTTGTAGTTTCTTCTCTTTGTACTGTAGAGCCACTGGTTATAGCCCAAATTACATCTGCCAACATTCAATGTTCTGTACTTGTGAATCGACAGTACAACATCTCCACCAGCTCCATCTTGAGGCAGAAATAAGGAACTTTCCCCAGGCAATTCCGAGAGCAAGAAATCTAATGTCCTGCATACTCAGTAACAGTTTATCTGGTTACACCTGGTAGATTTTCCTGTGGGTATGTATCAGTTTACAGATTGTGGCATATCTCACATTCTAGATACAGGGAAGACCAAGAATGTAGCTCATCTTTCTCTATAGTAAAAGCAGGGAAATATTTATCACAGCACACAGCTGAGTCCATTGGGTGTCTTGCTGCTGAACAATGAGTAGCGTAGCCTTTCTCTCACCTCCTTGTTTCCTGGATAATGAACTACCTAATACCAATGACTACAGTGCAAAGAGAAATCTCATACACAAGTTATCTCAGTCATATGCTACACAGTGGTTAGAAACTATAGAAAAAGACAGATAGCTCTCTTTTTTAATATACATATCAGTTTAAAAATTATAATACATATGTAGCAATGTCTCACAGTCTGGATTAAGAAATCCTAGGAATATAACTCTTTTTCTTTGCAGTAGAGACAAGGAAATCCGTGTATCAGTCTGCAGATGATTCAGTGATGTATCTCTGTCTACCTTGGGCAATATAGCTTCACTTTCTCCTCCTTGTTCCTCCAGGTATAATTCACTGCTGTGCTGTGGCTCGGTTCCTGTCTGAGCTTGAATCTCCAGGGATGTTAATAGTATCACTGTGATTTCATAAAAAAATGTAAAATTCTATTCACATCTAGTTGCAAGAGAATAAGCATAAAATATGCAGTGTCACCAAGGTATTCCCATCAGGGGCAGGCTCCCTTCGGTGTTAGCCCAAAGTAACTGGACTGATAATGCTTGTTTCTCTCCCAATTCTCAAAACATTTCAGTAGAATGACAGTCATCATCAGGTGGTGGTGGGGGGGTAATAACATATCTGCACTCTGTTATTGTAGTGGAGAGAGGGAGAGTGCTGCAATCATGAGATTATCATCCTATGAGAAGTAAAGACACTAGAGAGGCTAGGTTTAATACATTGTTACTACCCTGGCAGTATGGGAAGCACTGGCTTTTCTTTTGGTTTTCTTTGGCCCATCCAGCACAAAAGAATCACAGAAGGTGCTATGGAGAGGCCCAAAGCAAGGGCTAGTATGGTAAGCAAACGTCTGGTCTATTAAACAGGTGAATGCAGGATTTGTGGTGCACTCACCAGACATGCCCCCTCAAAATTATGTGTAGCGCTACGCTCGTGAGGACAGCTGTGGTGTGGGTACCCCTAAGCTCTGCACAGCCAGGCAACAGGTATTTTTCACACAGACTTTCATCTAAGAGACAGTAACCAGTCCCTGGACTTGGTTCTGTTATTTTATTAGGGGAATATAACTTGGATAGGGAAATAGGGATTATGGGATGCCCAGTTTGGCCTGAATCAATGAAGGGGGACAACTTCCTTCCTATGTACTAAACAGATCCTGGACTGTTCTTTTCCTTGAAAGCCATCAATCTTGCTGGATCAGTAGCGACAGCCCTTTGGGTGGGGGACTAGCAACCCCTCAAAAAATCAGCTTAGCTTCTTGTAACTACATGCAGAGATAC